AAACAAGCTTGCTCCCTCCTCCCTGTGGCTTCCTCTCACATATTTATACATGGCTATCATATCTCCTCCTCTATTTATACATGGCTATCATATCTCCTCTCAGCCTTTTCTTTTTCAGTCTAAACATGCCCAGCTCCTTAAGCCGCTCCTCATTGGGCTTGTTCTCCAGAACCTTTATCATTTTAGTCACCCTATATGACCATGTTCTAGAGGCATTTTCTCCTGACGTTTCATCTGCATCTATAACAAGCATCCTCAGAGGTAGTGAGGTCTACTAGAACTAGGAAAATGGGATTATATATCTTCTTTGCCCCACCCTGGTCATTCCAAAGATATATAAACCCATTTTCCTAGTTCCAGTACACCTCACAACCTCTGAGGATGCTTGCCATAGATGCAGGCAAATCGTCAGGAGAAAATGCCTCTAGAACATGGCGATATAGCCCGAAAAAACCTACAATCCAGTTTCTCAAAATAGCTGTACTAACTCTGACTGTCTGTCTGTCTGTCTACATACAAATATTCTTAAAAACTACCCCAACATTGTGTGAAATGGCCATATAGCCCAAAAAAACCTACAACAACCCAATAATAATAATAATTTTTATTTATACCCCGCCACTATCTCTCCAATGGGGACTCGGACGGCTTACATGAGGTCAAGCCCAAACAACAAATTACAACACAGTAAAACCGAAAATGCAAACTGAAAACGCAAACAATAAACAACACCATCATAATAATTACATAAAACGTGGATACATAACAATGTAAAATTACAATAAACACAGTCACAGTGACAATGGGCAGGCTACATGTAATGGATTAAAATAAAAACTAATTAAAAACTCCGGTGAGATAAAAGTAGAAACAGGTTATTTGTGGAGGGGGGCTCATTATAGCTATTGAAGGAGAACATTTCCAAACTGACATAAGTATTAACATGCTCATCAAATTCCTGGACAGCTAGTTGGCACACCATATTTACAAATGGAAAAACTGCAGATATAATTTGAAATATAGTCAACATGACTTGTGAACCCAACCTTAATCAATCCAACTTTTTCACTGCAAACAAAACATATCTCTACTTTAAATATTAATTACCTGTTCTATTGTATTTCTTCATAATGCTTCAGGCATTGTTTAAGACTTTTTGCTGCTAATAGAAAAAAAAACACCTTAATGCTAGTTTTAAGGAAGGGGATGGATGGGTTTGTGATGTTACAAACTTCCATGGGCAATCCACTTGACCATTGGTGTGGAATGAGGTTCCCTTGAGTCCAGGCCTAGAGAAAAGACTGTATAAATAGATGGTGTCAGTTTCCAAAATCCAGTGATTCCTGTTTCTAAGTATGCCTGGACTCTTCCCAGATGTGTGTTCCATCTTATCCTGCTAATCGGAAATTAGCCGCTTTGTGTGGACCGGATCATCATTGCGACCTTGCGGAGAGAATAGGCCCCACCACGAAACTCTGCCCAGTAGACTCCATCTTGGTAATGGCTTCGGTAGTGCCCGCCTTTGTACCAGATGCCATTGAGATTGGAATGAGCACACATATTGTACCACCAACCACCCTTCTGATAATGGGCACAATTCCCTGTGGGAAAAGAAGAAGAGAGAGAACCAGTGATCAGTAAACCCTGAATTTAGATAACACAGAAACTTAGCTCGCGAAGTCGGATCTGGCCGTGGTGGTCCATGCCTTAGTCACCTCCTGTTGGCATAGACACTGAGAACTGGGAAGCCCTGGCCCTTGACTGCTCCAGCTGGAGGTCAGCTGTGACCAGCAGTGCTGCAGAATTCGAGGAGGCACGAGTGGAGGGTGAAAGAGAGAAACGTGCCAGGAGGAAGGCGCGTCAAGCCAACCCCGACCGGGACCGCCTTCCACCTGGAAACCAATGCCTTCACTGTGGGAGAAGATGCGGGTCAAGAATAGGGCTCCACAGCCACCTACAAACCCACAAAAATAGTCATCAAGGAAGACCATCTTACTCGTCCAACGAGAGATCGCCTAAGTCAAGTAAGGAAGTCACCTCCAGATTAGATTACTGTAATGCACTCTACGTGTGGCTGCCCTTGAAGACGGCTTGGAAATTCCAATTGGTACAATGGGCGGCAGCCAGGTTACTAACTGGGGAAGGAAGGAAAGAGAGAAGGAAGAGGAGAAGGAAAGATGGGAGGGAAGGAAGGAGAGGAGGGAAAGAAGGAGAGAAAGAGGGAAGGTTGGCCACAGCAACACGTGGCGGGTAAAGGTTGTTATTTCTATTATTATTATTATGCTATTATTCCTATTAGACCCTGGGGGAATGGGAGAGGTGTCAGGTCCCAGAGGCAATGCATTGCATTATTGTTATTGTTATGATGGTGGTGAAATAAAAGGAAATGAAAAGAGAAAGAAGGAAGCAAAAGGAGGGAAGAAAGGCAAAGGAAGAAAGGGGGAGGGAATGAAGGAAAGAGAGAAGGATGAAACCAAGTAGTGAAAGAAAGAAAGAAAGAAAGAGGTAGAGAAGGAAGAAAGGAGAGAAAGGGGGAGGAAAAGGGAGAAGGAATAGGTAGGTACCTCTCTTTCATAATAGTCCAGATATCTACCTCAACTTTGATAAGTTTTACTATAGGCCACAGCAACGCGTGGCAGGGCACAGCTAGTTGTTATTATTATTATTATTATTATTATTATTATTATTATTATTATCATCATCATCTTTTAAAACCCTCCTGCTTAGATACATCCTACCTCTGTTCACGCCCAGTGTTTATTTTTAAAAAATTAATTTATTACATCTGGCCCGGCCATAATGTTTTAAATTTTGTGTGTTATTGTTTATATGTAAGTTATATTAATTGTACTGCTTTATTTGCTTGCTGATTTGTTTTTACGGATGTGTTGTTGGGCTCGGCCTCATGTAAGCTGCCCCGAGTCCCCTTGGAGAGATGGTGGCGGAGCATAAATAAAGATTATTATTATTATTATTATTATTATTATTATTATTATTAACTACAGTTGATGGTTGCTAATGTTCCACCTGAAGTTCTTAGCTGAATTCCTTTGTAGTGGAAGGCCATTAACAAATACCAGGGCTATAGGCTTATATATGAGAGGAAACAAAACCACCTCTGAGTATTCCTTGCCTAAGAAAATCCTATCAAATACATCAATAAATCAACAGGTGACTTGAATACACATACACACAGATATGGGTATATCTGCACTACAAACGGTGAGATCACCACATCTTCTCCAATCCTGCCATCTGATAATGAAACACAGAACGGCCATACACAGCTATTTGGGTACTTTACAGTAAGTCAGAGGATGTGTCACAGATCCACATGTGGATATTTTTGTTATGTTGAGAGGATTTTGGGTCAAGGACAAGGACTGTTTTAATTTGGAACCTGGGAGAGCCAGGTTCAAACCTCTAATGAACCATGATGCTCAGTGGGTGTTGTTAAGCCAATCACTCTGTTTCAGATTAACCTACCACACAGGGTTGTAATTACTAAGTGAAGAGGAGAGCTGTATGTAGTTTATTTATTTTTATTTATTTACGACATTTATATGCCGCCCTTCTCACCCCGAAGGGGACTCAGAGCAGCTTACAAGGTATATATTACATACAATATATTATATTATTAGCATAGTACAATATCAGCATTAAACATTGCTATATTGCACCATACCACTATATCGTAATATTATTAGTAATATTACATGTAATATAAATATATAATTATAATATCTTATTATTATTATTGCATTACATTATGATATTATAAATATTATATGTATCTATATATATAAATCTGTTAAGGGCGTTCAACGGGACAGCAAAATGCGGAAACCCCTGGCCCAAAACACACCAAACTTGACATGCACATACCTCAACCCACAAGGTATGCAGATAGCGATTCAAAATAGTAAACAACAATTCAACAAACCCACAATATCAAAAACAAAGGGAGCATGCGCAGAGGCTCCCTTCGCCACCCCGCCCCTACCCGCCCTGACTCAATTCTTTCCCTCCTGCACCTTCTCCTTCGCCGCTGACCATGCCCCCTCCACGGAAGCCACACCCCCTCCCTTCGCCGCCCTGCCCTTTCCCGCCCTGACTCAATCCTTCCCTCCTCCCACGCCCCCTCCAGGAAGTCACGCCCCCTTCCTTCGCCCCCCACCCCTTCCCACACTTCCGTTCCCTCGCCTGTCAGTCTTGCTCCCAGCACTTCCGGCGGAACCGCCATAACAACCGAGGCCTCGCCGAGCGACGCAGTGGTTGCAGCCTCCTAGGCGGTGGGCCCAATCAAGGAAGAGGAAAAACATCGAAGGAAGGAAGGAAACAGAGAAGGAAATATGGAAGCAAAGAGCGAAGGAAAGAAGGAAAGAGGTAGAGAAGGAAGAAAATAGAGAAAGAGGAAAAGAAGAGGGATGGAAAGAAATGGGTAGAGAAAGAAGGAAAGAGATAAGGAAAGAAAAGGAAGGAAAGAGGAGCGAAGGAAGAAGAGAAAGAAAGAGAAAGAGGGGGGAAGGAAAGAAAGGAAGAAAACAAAACCAAGGAAGGAAGGAAGGAAAGAGGCAGAGAAAAGAAAGAGAAAGTGAAGGAAAAGAAAAAAGGAAGAAGGAAAGAGGAAGAGAAAGAAGGAAGGAGAGAAGGACAGAAAAGGAAGGAAAGAGGAGCAAAGGAAGAAGAGAAAGAAAGAGAAAGAGGGGGGAAGGAAGGAAAGACAAAAGGAAGAATGGAAACAAAAACCACAGGAAGGAAGGAAGGAAAGAGGCAGAGAAGGAAGAAAGAGAAAGGGAAGGAAAAGAAAAAGAAGAAGGAAAGAGGAAGAGAAGGAAGGAAGGAGAGAAGGAAAGAAGAAAAGGGAATGAGGGAAAGAAGGAGAGAAAGAGGGAGGTAAGGTGGGCCACAGCAACGCGTGGCAGGGAAAGCTAGTATCTATATAAATAAAATTTTAATGTTCGTTTGTGGGATTAACCTAACTCTAAAAACACTGGACGAATTGACACCAAATTTGGACAGCATATGCCTAACAACCCAATGTATGTTCTTCAATAAAAAAAATTGATATTTTCATTTGGGAGTTGTAGTTGCTGGAATTTATAGTTCTCCTACAATCAAAGAGCATTCTGAACCCCACCAATGATGGAATTGAACCACACAGGACTCACTTGACCAACAGAAACACTAGAAGGGTTTAGTGGGCATTGACCTTGACTTTGGGAGTTGTAGTTCACCTACATCCAGAGAGCACTGTGGACTCAAACAATGATGGATCTGGACCAAACTTGGACAAATACTCAATATGCTCAAATGTGAACTGATGGAGGGTACTAGGCATGGGCAATCCATGGTTCTAAATGGTTCTAAAGTACTTACAAAACTAGGGGGCGCTGGTGCTTTGCTTCTAAAGTGTTTCTAAAGTTCTGGTGGTGAAAATTTCAGAACTCTAACAAAACTTTCAAAATTTCATTATTATTTCATTATTGGTGATTTTTATGACAGAAACAATTAAGAACTGCCATTTATAATAAAATTTTGAAAGTTTTGTTGAGTTCTGAAATTTTCACCACCAGAACTTTAGCAACACTGTAGAAGCAAAGCACCAGCGCCCCCTAGTTTTCACAACCAGTACTTTAGTTTTGTTAGTACTTTAGAACCATTTAGAACCATGGATTGCACATGCCTAGTGCTCGCCAGTGGTTCCTCTTCACCCTGGAAAGAAGTGACTAGTGGAGTGCTGCAAGGTTCAGTCCTGGGCCCAGTACTGTTCAACATCTTTATTAATGACTTGGATGAAAGTTTAGAAGGCATACTCATTAAAGTTGCAGATGATAACGAATCTAATGCTCCAGAAGACAGGATTAGAATCCAAAATGACCTCAACAGATTAGAGAGCTGGGCCAAAAAATAACAAAATGAATTTCAACAAGGAGAAGTATAGGATTCTTCACTTAGGCAGAAAGAATGAAATGCAGATACAGGATAGGTTATGCCTGGCTCGACAACAGTCCATGTGAAAAAGATCTTGGAGTCTTCGTGGACAAGTTGAACATGAGCCAACAGTGTGATGCAGCAGCCAAAAAGGTCAATGGCATTTGGGGCTGCATCAAAAGGAATATAGTGTCTAGATCAAGAGAAGTCATGGTGCCCCTCTATTCTGATTCAGTCGGACCTCACCTGGAATACTGTGCCCAGTTCTGGACACCACAATTGACAAGCTTATTTATTTATCGTGTCATCAGCAACCAGACATTTGTATTACATTTTTAACAAAAACAAACAAACAAACAGACAAAACACAGAAATTGCAAGCTTGGTAGTTGATTAAATGTCCTTTGACCAGTATCTGGCCACTTGGAGTGCCTCTGGTGTTGCCGCAAGAAGGTCCTCCATTGTGCATGTGGCAGGGCTCAGGTTCCATTGCAGCAGGTGGTCAGTGGTTTGCTCTTCTCCACACTCGCATGTCGTGGATTCCACTTTGTAGCCCCATTTCTTAAGGTTGGCTCTGCATCTCGTGGTGCCAGAGCGCTGTCTGTTCAGCGCCTTCCAAGTCGCCCAGTTTTCTGTGTGCCCAGGGGGGAGTCTCTCATTTGGTATCAGCCATTGGATTGAGGTTCTGGGTTTGAGCCTGCCACTTTTGGACTCTCGCTTGCTGAGGTGTTCCAGCGAGTGTCTCTGTAGATCTTAGAAAACTATTTCTTGATTTAAGTCATTGACGTGCTGGCTGATACCCAAACAAGGGATGAGCTGGAGATGTCTCTGCCTTGGTCCTTTCACTATTGGCTGCTACTTCCCGGTGGATGTCAGGTGGTGCAATACCAGCTAAACAGTGTAATTTCTCCAGTGGTGTAGGGCGCAGACACCCCGTGATAATGCAGCATGTCTCATTAAGAGCCACATCCACTGTTTTAGTGTGGTGAGATGTGTTCCACACTGGGCATGCATACTCAGCAGCAGAGTAGCACAGCGCAAGGGCAGATGTCTTCACTGTATCTGGTTGTGATCCCCAGGTTGTGCCAGTCAGCTTTCGTATGATATTGTTTCTAGCACCCACTTTTTGTTTGATGTTCAGGCAGTGCTTCTTGTAGGTCAGAGCACGGTCCAGAGTGACTCCCAGGTATTTGGGTGTGCTGCAATGCTCCAGTGGGATTCCTTCCCAGGTGATCCTCAGAGCTCAGGATGCTTGTCTGTTCTTAAGGTGAAAAGCACATGTCTGTGTTTTAGATGGATTAGGGATCAGCTGGTTTTCCCTGTAATAGGCAGTAAGAGCACCTAGAGCTTCGGAGAGCTTTTGTTCAACCAAGCTCATTGACAAGCTGAAACGTGTCCAGAGGAGAGCGACTAAAATGATCAAAGGTCTGAAGACTATGAATCCCTATGCAGAGTGGCTACAAGAGCCTGTAGAAGAGAAGGTTGAGAGGAAACATGATAGCCATATATAAATATGTGAAAGGATGTCATAAGGAAGAGGGAGCAGGCTTGTTTTCTGCTGCCCTGGAAACTAGGTTTAAATTACAGGAAAGGAGATTCCATCTAACATTAGGAAGAATTTTCTGACCATTTCAGCTGTTTAGCAGTGGAACTCTATCTCAGAATTTAGTAGAAGCTCCTTTCTTGGAGGCTTTTAAACAGAGGCAAGATGGCCATCGGTTGGGAGTGCTTTGATTGTGCTTTTCCTGCATGGCAGGAGGTTAGACTAGATGGCCCATGTGGTCTTTTTGAACTCTATTATTCTATGATTCTATCTTACCTGAGTAAGCATCATGGTCCCGGTCCAGTGTGCTAAACTGTCGGCCATTGTGCCAAGAGAGGGAGTCGCCAGCAGTGCCCCGGTAGCGCCCTAGCCGCAACCGATAAAAATCGCTCTCAGGCTCCAAGGCGAAGGTGTCATATTCAGCATGTGCCTGTCGCCCGCTCCAGTCTTCCATCCATATCCGTAGCAGGTAGGTGCCCTGGCGGGTGAGCCAGTAGATAGAGTCCAGACCCAGCCAGTGTTCTCCTTCCAGGTTCCCAAAACCATTCTGGGAAGACACAGCAGGCAAGAGATTTACTAAAATGGAACTAGGATGAGAAACATGACCTTATGGGTGTGGCTAAACTATAATATGCATCAGACTCTTAGTGAAGAGTGTGGCATTTGTATTTAATAACATGGTGGGATGGAGAGGATTCACATATCCCACATTCCTGCTCTGCATTCACAGCTGAACAGAGCATGGAATCTGGCTGTGCAGCTGGTAGAGCTATTATCTATGGCAGGGGTCCTCAAAGTAAGGCCCGAGGGCCAGATACAACCCTCCAAGGTCATTTACTCGGCCCTTGCTCAGGGTCAACCTAAGTCTGAAATGACTTGAAAGCACACAACAACAACAACAATCCTATCTCATCAGCCAAAAGCAGATCCACACTTCCCATTGAAATACTAATAAGTTTATATTTGTTAAAATTGTTCTTCATTTTAATTATTGTATTTTAAGTGTTTTTGCACTACAAATAAGATATGTGCAGTGTGCATAGGAATTCATTCATTTTTTTTTTCAAATTATAATCCGTCCCTCCAACAGTTTGAGGGACTGTGACCTGGCCCTCTGTTTAAAAAGTTTGAGGACCCCTGGTCTATGGAATAATTTCACAGCAGAAAATCATTACAGCGCATTTGTGCGTACACGAATATATACCATACATGCTCACTAGGCTTGGGCGATCCAGTTTGTTAATTTCGTTATTTGTTATTGATTGGTATTTAAATTAGCTTATGATCCAATATCGAGCCATGCAGGAATAGTGTGAGGAGTAATTAAGAATCGAAACAATTTTTCCCAATTTTCGTAATTATTTCGTAATTATTTTGTAATTATTTTCGTATGTCTGGTGCATTATATTGTATATTACATTATATTACTATATTATATATTATATTACTATATTATTATTATATGATATTATAATTGTATATTATAATATAATATAATATATATAATATAATATATTATAATATAATAATAATATAATATAATATAATATAATATAATATAATATAATAATAATTATAATATATTATATATTATAATAATATATAATATAAAAATAATATATAATAATAATATAATATAATAATATATATAATATTATAATATAATATACAACAATATAATATAATAATAATATAATATAATATATTGTTGTTTGTTTTATCACACCAACAGTCAACAACAGAGGGAGAGGGAAGCTTCAGAAGTTCCCCCTGTCCCATTTGGAGGTTTTTTTTAGCATATTGCGCAATTGCGTCCGCCATTAACGAATCGATTCGTAATTTATGAAATTTCGGAAATTTCAAAATTTTGAAGTCTTAAATTTCGGAAGTCCTCAGAATTTCGAAAGGCTAGCGCACTCTAGAAACAAAACGAGTTTAGAACCAATTTTTTTCTTGATCGCCCAAGCCTAATGCTCACATCATCCCTCCTGCCCATGAGCTCCCAGGTCCGCCAGATTTACCACATCAGGAGTGAAGCTGGAAGGAACCATATGGCCAACCAGGTCATCCATGCTGACTACAAATATCTCTCTTTGGCCTTTTACTTCTCATGGAATTACCCTTTATATAGGCATTAGGCATGTGCAGTCCATGGTTCTAAATGGTTCTAAAGTACTTAGAAAACCAAGTACTTACTTCTACAGTGTTGCTAAAGTTTTGGTGGTGAAAATTTCAGAACTCTAACAAAACTTTCAAAATTTCATTATAAATGGCAGTTCCTAATTGGTTCTGTCATAAAAATCATCAATAATGAAATAATAATGAAATTTTGAAAGTTTTGTTAGAGTTCTGAAATTTTCACCACCAGAACTTTAGCAACACTGTAGAAGCAAAGCACCAGCGCCCCCTAGTTTTCACCACCAGAATTTTAGTTTTGTAAGTACTTTAGAACAGAGTTGTTGTAGGTTTTTCCGGGCTATATGGCCATGTTCTAGAGGCATTTTCTCCTGACGTTTCGCCTGCATCTATGGCAAGCATCCTCAGAGGTAGTGAGGTCTGTTGGAAGTAGGAAAATGGGTTTATATATCTGTGGAATGACCAGGGTGGGACAAAGGACTTTTGTCTGCTGAAGCTAGGTGTGAATGTTTCAACTGAACACCTTGATTAGCATTTAATGGCTTGGAAGTGCCTGGGGGAATGTTTTGGTTTTTTTTGAGAGGTCATTTGCTGTGCCTGATTGTTTACTCTCTGTTGTTTCGCTGTTGTAATGATAGAGTTTTTTAATACTGGTAGCCAGATTTTGTTCATTTTCATGATTTCTCCTTTCTGTTGAAATTGTCCACATGCTTGTGGATTTCAATGGCTTCTCTGTGTAGTCTGACATGGTGGTTGTGAGAGTGGTCCAGCACTTGTGTGTTCTCAAATAATATGCTGTGTCCAGGTTGTTCATCAGGTGCTCTGCTATGGCTGATTTCTCTGGTTGAAGTAGTCTGCAGTGCCTTTCATGTTCCTTGATTTCGTGTTTGGGCAATGCTGCGTTTGGTGGTCCCTATGTAGACTTGTCCACAGCTGCATGGTAGTAGACTCCTGCAGAGGTGAGAGGATCCCTCTTGTCCTTTGCTGAACATAGCATTTGTTGGATTCTTGGTGGGTTTGTAGATTGTTTGTATGTTGTGTTTCCTCATCAGCTTCCCTATGCACCATTAAAGCCTTGGCAGACTGTGCAAAAAGAATCTGCGAACCCCACCTTCTCCAAGATGAACTGAACCACCTCAACTGGGCTCTCCAGGCCAATGGATACTCCACCTCAGACATCAGAAGAGCTGCAAGACCAAGAACAAGCCACGAGAGTAAAGATGAAGATCCACCCAGAGGAAAAGTGTTCTTGCCATACATCAAGGGAACCACTGACCGCATAGGGAAGCTGATGAGGAAACACAACATACAAACTACCTACAGACCCACCAGGAAAATCCAACAAATGCTACGTTCAGCAAAGGACAAGAGGGATCCTCTCACCTCTGCAGGAGTCTACCGTATACCAGGCAGCTGTGGACAAGTCAACTCTATAATTACAACAGTGAAACAACAGAGAGTAAACAATCAAGCACAGCAAATGACCTCTCAAAAAAAAAATCCCTCCAGGCACTTCCAAGCCATTAAATGCTACTTCCAAACAGACCTCACTACTTCTGAGGATGCTTGCCATAGATGCAGGCGAAACGTCAGGAGAAAATATGCCTCTAGAACATGGCCATATAGCCCAGAAAAACCTACAACAACCCAGTGATTCTGGCCATGAAAGCCTTCGACAATACTTTAAAACCATTTAGATCCATTGCACATGCCTAATAAGCATATATAAGTATAGAAATTAAACTTGGATCCATTTAGCTGAGGGGGTCAATGTGAGTATTGTACATTAACTCTTATTTTAAAAGGAATTATGTCTTTCTCTGAGTAGAGTGGGCAAAGGGCGGGAACGTAAGTCTGTCCCGGGAGAATTTAAAAGAAGCACCAGTCCCACCAACTCGTGCAGCTGTGCATTACTTCTGGCCTTTTTGAATGCCTAGGTAGGGAGATGATGGTAGTAGCCAGGCACAACTGACTCAGAGATTGCACTGGCCTTCCCACCCCTGAGGTGGCATCCATGGGTCATATCAAAATCCATAGTTTTGACCCCAAAAATTGCCCTCAACTCATACAGCAGGTAGGAGCCCCCGGTGGCACAGTGGGTTAAACCCCTGTGCCGGCAGGACTGAAGACCGACAGGTCGCAGGTTCGAATTCGGGGAGAGCACGGGTGAGCTCCCTCTATCAGCTCCAGCTCCTCATGCGGGGACATGAGAGAAACCTCCCACAAGGATGATAAAACATCAAAAACATCTGGACGTCCCCTGAACAACGTCCTTGCAGATGGCTAATTCTCTCACACCAGAAGCGACTTGCAGTTTCTCAAGTCGCTCCTGACATGACAAAAAAATAATAATACAGCCAATCAAACTTATACATGAGTTCCTATAGCAGTGTTTCTCAGCCTTCCTAATGCCGTTACCCCTTAATGCACTTCCTCATGTTGTGGTGACCCCCAAGCATAACATTATATTCATTTCTATTTCACAACTGTAATTTTGCTACTGTTATGAATCATAAGGTAAACATCTGATATGCAGGATCATTCACTGGACCAAATTTGGCACAAATACCCGATACGCCCAAATTTGAATACTGGTGGGGTTGCGGGAGGGGATTGCTTTTGTCATTTGGGAGTTGTAGTTGCTGGGATTTATAGTTCACCTACAATCAAAGAGCATTCTGAACTCCACCAATGATGGAATTGGGCCAAACTTCCCACATAGAACCCCCATGCCTTGAAGGGACTCACTGGTGCGAGCCTCCCTCCAGCCTCGCACGCTCTCCCCCGCCCACACATGCTCAGCACACTGTCATGCGCCGAGCACACCTGCTCTCCCTTCTCCACTTGGCTGAGAGACCGGCCAGTCACAGCAGAGGAGGGCTTTTGATGGGAGGAATTCCTGTTTCCAAAAAGGAAGAGAAGGACAAGCTGAGAGATCTTCAGCCTTCTCTGCCAAAGGGGTTCCTAAGACCATCAGAAATATATGTTTTCTGGTGGTCTTTGGTGACCCCTCTGAAACCCCCTCATGACTCCCCAGGAGTCCCAACCCCCAGGTTGAGAAACACTGTCCTATAGTAATCTGCATCTATAGTGACCTCTCACTTGGACAGATTCGATGAGCTCACTCTGTGCTGTGATCCTTCTAACTGCTGATGTTACTTATGACAAACACATTGAAGGAAGACTCCCAGGAAAAAACAGACACCCTGGAAATGATTTCTAGCATTATGACACAGAGATCTAGTTCTCAGCCCAACCACACAACCTCAGGCTGTATCACAGAGACCTGCCAGCCCAATCTTTTCCTTTCAAACAGCAGCTTGTCACGCCCTGCTCACACCTTGTAGTGCTGCCAGGTGACAAAGAAGTTGACCGACCCATCCTGCCGCCGCTGGAGGACAGTCCAACCTCCTCCATCATACTCCTGGTCACACCAGGCCTGGATGATGCCCCGGGCACCCGTCGGTTGCAGCATGGTGATGCCACTGGCCTGTCCATCCCGTTGAGCAGCTTGACAGTCCTGCCAGGGTCCTGGGGCCAAGAGGAGAAAGCAAGAGTTATTATGCATTGAACAATGCAAGTATATGGATAAGAAAAGGGTAGGCCTCCAGATGTTGCTGGATTATAATTCCCATTGGCCTCAGCCAGCACAATCGCCACAAAAGATGAAGGCAATTACAGTCCAAACACATTCCCCAGTCCTGTGTCAGTGTCAGGTTTTCCATTGGGGGGTGGGGGGCAATCATAAACTCAACTATGGGTCTCTTAACATCTGTTGAGGCATTCCTCAATAGGTTTCCCTTAAAGCGCAGCTTATTAGGCTTCTGCAATTCAACTAGAGGGCAATCCATTTTTGGTATCCAAATTTCATTGTGTAGCCAGATCTGTTTTCGGGAGCCTCCAGAAAATCGGCTATAAGAATGGGGTTGAACCAAAAAACTCCTTTATGGCTGTGCCCATTGGAAACAGTACTGAGACCAACTACTCACATAGAATCAGTCATCATGGATAATGGCTCTAAATAATGAGTTGGCTAAAATCGGCCTGCCTTTGCAATTTCTGAACCATCTAGGTCCTAAGGCAAAACAAGTGGTCATGTAACGCACTCGAAATATCTATGCTCAACTGGAAGAAGAAGAACTGTATTTTTCTACCCCGCCTCCATCTCCCCGAAGGGACTCGGGGTGGCTTACATGAGGCCCAAGCCCAAGGCAGAATACAATTAAAAACAAAGCAAAACAATTTAGACAGCATAAAACAACGTTTGGCCAGTTTTCAATCTCTCCTTTTTGGGCAAAGTCTTGGAACGTGTGGTTGCCTTGCAGCTCCAGGGATTCTTGGACGAAACTGATTATCTGGATCCGTCACAGTCCGGTTTCAGACTGGGACATGGAACTGAGACAGCCATGGTCGCCTTAGTGGATGATCTCCGCAGAGAGCTCGACAGGGGGAATGGGTCCCTGTTGGTTCTCCTGGACCTCTCGATACCGTAGACCATGGTATCCTTCTGGGGCGCCTTGCGAGGATGGGTCTTGGAGGGAGTGTTCTGCAGTGGCTCCAGTCCTTCCTGGAGGGTCGTACCCAGAAGGTGTTGCTGGGGGACTCCTGCTCGGCTCCACAGCCGTTGTCCTGTGGGATCCCGCAGGGCTCAGTATTGTCCCCCATGTTGTTTAACATCTACATGAAGCCACTGGGTGAGATCATCCGGAGTTTTGGAGTGCCATCTGTACGCAGATGATGTCCAACTCTATCACTCACTTCCACCTGATGTTGTGCCTCTTCTTGTAGTCTGTCTGCACGATCTTCTTGCAGCAGCTGAGGATGTGCTATTGTTTCATCTGCTTCCTTGCAGAGTCTACATTTGGGATCTGTTGTCGCCTTTTCAATTCTGGCTTTGATGGCATTGGTTCAAATGGCTTGTTCTTGGGCTGTCAGAACCAGGTTCTCCGTCTCCTTTTTCAGAGTTCCATTTGTGAGCCACAGGCATGTTTTTTCTTTGTCAATTTGGCTCTCAATTTTTCCCAGGAACTGTCCTTGGAGAGACTTCTTTCGCCAGATTATTATTATTATTATTATTATTATTATTATTATTTACTAATTTTTTATTTGGTATAAAGAAAGATGTATAGGTATATGTTGTTGTTGTTGTTGTTGTTATTATTATTATGTAGAATCAGGAACTTATAGAGAGTATTTTATTAAAGAAAAAGAGCAGTGGAAATTCAAAGGGAGAAAGGAGTTAGGAATAAATTACTGCTTTTGCTTCTATCAATGACATGTGGATAGGGTTTTCAACTAGAAAATCAGAGAGAACATTTTGAGAAGGGTACCAAAGGCCAAATCTCCAGACTATGTACTGTATATACTCGAGTATAAGCCTAGTTTTTCATCCCCTTTTTTAGGCTGAGAAATCTCCCATTGTCTTATACTTGAGTCAGTATTATTTACTATTTTACTCTGTTATTAGTATTATTTTTATTACATTTACTAGCTGTCCCCTGACACGCGTTGCTATGGCCCACATGGGGGTTCTGTGTGGGAGGTTTGGCCCAATTTTATTGTTGGTGGACTTCAGAATGCTCTGTGATTGTAGGCGAACTATAAATCCCAGCAACTACAATTACCAAATGTCAAGATTCTATTTTCCCCAAACTCCACCAGTGTTCACATTTGGGCATATTGAGTATTTGTGTAGCGTTTGGTCCAAATCCATCATTTTTTGAGTCTACACTGATCTCTGGATGTAGGTGAACTACAACTCCAAAACCAAAGGACACTGCCCACCAAACCCTTCCACTATTTTCTGTTGGTCATGGGAGAACTGTGTGCCAAGTTTGGTTTAATTCCATCGTTGGCGGGGTTCAGAATGCTCTTTGATTGTAGGTGAACTATAAATCCCAACAACTACAAATCCCAAATGACAAAATCATAATTTTTGAGTGATGGTCACTCCTTGTGTTGTGAGACGTTTTGTTGCCAAATTTGGTGTGATTTCGTTCATTGGTTCTTTTGTTTTTAAGGTACTCATTATGCACAGAGCATTTATATATATATAGATTATTTTACTCTATTTATTATTATTATTATTATTATTATTTTACTCTTTATTGTTATTATAACATTTATTATTTTACTCTATTATTGTTATTATTACATTTATTATTTTTCTCTTTATTGTTATGACAACATTTATTATTTTACTCTATGTATTATTGTTATTATTACATTTATTATTTTCCTCTCTTATTACTGTTATTACATTTCCATTATTTTACTCTATTATTATTTTTATTACATTTATTATTTTACTCCTTTATTATTATTGGAAGGATATGTAAGCACATTTACATTGAAGAAGGTTAGAATAATGGTTTAATCAGAGTTGGACAGCTTTATCTTAAATTACAATTTTATATAAATATTTTTGAATATTTACTCTATGGATGCCTCAATTAATGTAATTTTATTGGTATCTTTTTCTATTTTGAAACTTACCAGGAGCTGCTGCATTTCTCGCCCTCGGCTTATACTCGAGTCAATACATTTTCCCAGTTTAGGTGCCTCGGCTTATATTCGGGTCGGCTTATACTCGAGTATATACGGTAAATATTTTAGAATATAACTCAGAAGACAATCGAATAAAAACTGTGATTATTTCGTGGGCCAAGGATTTAGGGAGAAATGATGATTTGGAGCATTGGGAACATCTCTGGAAAAGGGGATTACATTTTCAATGGTAGGTAGTAGTCCCCTGACATTAAGTCCAGTCATGTCTGACTCTGGGGGTTGGTGCTCATCTCCATTTCTAAGCCAAAGAGCCGGCGTTGTCCGTAGACACCTCCAAGGTCATGTGGCCGGCATGACTGCATGGAGCGCCATTACCTTCCCACCGGAGTGGTACCTATTGATCTACTCACATTTGCATGTTTTCAAACTGCTAGGTTGGCAGAAGCTAGTGCTGACAGCGGAAGCTCACACCGCTCCCTGGAATCGAACCTGCGACCTTTCGGTCAACAAGCTCAGCAGCTCAGCGCTTTAACCCACTGCGCCACCGGGGGCACCTCATTTTCAATAGCTGATTCAATTAGAGATTGTATTTCCTAGCATCTTTCAGTCCAAAAATATTCAATTTCCTTTCTGAATCCAGGAAAGGAGGACAGAGCTGTTTCTTCTCCAACAAGACCTCATATGTTTGAGAGGAGTTGCATTTTTTGCTTTATGGTCCTCCTTTGCTACAAAACACTGTCAGTAAATCACAAGCATTCCTCCAACAGCTGGATGTTTCATGTTTAGCCAAAAACTCGGATGCACCAGGTCAGAGAGCAGGATAACGTGGCAGAATAATGGGAGAGAAAAGGAAAGGACCATGTGGTTATGTTTGTGAAGACTGGGCTTGTGTTTATTTGGCTCTGGGCTACAGCTGGTTCAAAGGAGAAGCAGGAGGCCCCCAAGGCAAATCTGGGAGAAGGAACAATACATATCATTATGTGGTAGAAAATATGAATGTAACACGCTCTCTACTTTCACTGGGTATAGAGGCACAGGATCTCCATAAAGGTGAGGAAACCACAAATAAGAAACCTGAGAGAACATTTTCATAGGTCCTCCAGTGCAACTCTATAGTCAGCATCTGCAAGAAACTGGCTACATAATCCCACAAATTTATTTATTTATTTGGTAGCTTTGTATACCGGTCTTCTCACCTCCATTCGAGGGACTCGGGCCGGTTTCCAACATCAATATTACAGACCGTCATTAAAACATCATATTTCTAAATCACACTAAAACATTGAAACAATTAAAATGGTAAAAATACAATCATATGATTACAGTGGTCAGTCGTCATCAAAGTCATTATTCGTCGTCATCCATCCATATCACAGGATCATGGCTCATTCGTTGAATGCCAATCCCCAAAGCCAGGTTTTCACCTGTTTCCTGAACGTTAAGATCGAAGGGGCAGTTCTGATCTCCAGTGGAAGGGAGTTCCAGAGTTGAGGGCCCACCACCGAGAAGGCCCTGTCTCTCGTCCCACCAGCCGCGCCTGTGAGGCCGGTGGGATCGAGAGCGGGGCCCCTCCAGACGATCTTAGTAATCTTGATGGCTCATAGGGGAGGATACGTTCGGACAGGTAAATTGGGCCGGAGTCGTTTAGGGCTTTATAGGTTAAGACCAGCACTTTGAATTGTGCTTGGAAGCTGACTGGCAGCCAGTGGAGCTGGCGCAACAGAGGAGTAGTATGCTCCCTGTACCCCGCTCCCATTAGTAACCTGGCTGCCGCACGTTGGACTAATTGAAGCTTCCGGGCAGTCTTCAGAGGCAACCCCACGTAGAGAGCGTTGCAGTAATCTAAACGGGATGTAACCAAAGCGTGGACCACCGTGACCAAGTCAGAACCCTTCCCTAGAAAAGGGTTCTGTCTACTTACTTACTTAGGCGATCCCTCATTATCCGAGTAGGATAATCCTCCAGGGTGGGTCCGTAGATGACTGTGGAGCCCTATTCTTGATCTGCATCGTCTCCCGCAGTGA